CAAGCAGCTCTACCAGGCATACTTCACAGTGAATGCCGAGGTGAAACGACCGCTCAGCGATGTTGACTTTCAGTTGATGAAGGAGAAAATGGAATGTGAGGACTGTCGAGAACGTTGCACTCCGGAAGGTGACACTCTTTTTTATAGGGTCTTTCTTTACCACGTTTCCTTATTGGTGTCTATTACTGTTCCATTTTTATCTTTTATCCAGAATGCCTATAATTTTAAAAGCACAGTGTCCGATCGTTGTGTGGGCGGGACAGTCCTCCTCGCGGAACTAAAGCGTCTATGGAGAATGGCACACTGGTTGACCGTCCCCGCTTAACGATCTGAACTGTGTCTTCAAAACCCCATTCGACCGCAGAATTTTCATTTTCAGGTGAAGAACCCTTGTTGACCTTCAAAAATGTTCTGTGTCCGCATCTGCGTTACGACTGTGATCAGAATGTGATGCGATTCTCAATATGGAGAGGTAATAGCCGTTTTCTCACGTCGAGTTCGAAACCCCACCAGCCAACCTCCTCTGCTGCATGCAAGGTACAGCATCGTTGTGTGAAACACATGGGGAGGGTCGTACTTTTCCGCTGGGGAGGGGGGGGGTCGTATTTGGTCGTTGGGAGAGGGGGGGGGTCGTATGTGCGTTTGAGAGAAGTTTTCTGCGTTGGGAGAGAATTTTTCCCGCCACCCCCCTCCGTCCCGCTTGACAGCAAAATTTTTGAGGAAAAGTAGGGATATTCTCGGTAAATTGCTAAAGAAAAGGTGGGAATTTGGGGATGATTTGAGAAATTTTCCCGTTTCACTTGACTATGTAACCCCCCCCCACTCGACGGGAAATCTCTGAGTGAAAAACTGGAGAACGTATGAAATTGGTAGGTTGGTGTTGGGGAAGGGCCGCGTTGGTATCGAGACCTCTCCTCGGGAGGAGGGGTCTTGCTGCATATCGGAATAAAACTGGGGTGTTCCCAAAATTTTGCGAGGCGTTGGTGAGTTCGGGGCTGTTCGATGGACTTCTTGTGCAAAACCGCGATCGTACCAAACAGAATTGCCATAAAATGGGTGATGAAATTGGTTTACAATTCACCCTATACCCCTCCCCCCTCCCCCGTCTCTTTAGGTATAGGCAAGTGTCCTCATTTCCATAACGATAGTTATACGAGGAGTCCTCACACATTGAGGACCACCGCTCTGCGAAGGTCTCCGCATCATTTAATCACTTTTCACAGCGGTAATCATTCCATCTTTTTCACTTTCATATGTATTCCGTGTACAAAAAAGTATTCTTTTGACTTGAGAACGCAAAATAGAAGCCAAATAGACTATAAGAGACAGCGCAGGGAGGGAGAGGGAGAGAAATGCATGACAAACCATGTGTGTCAGCGCTCCGGAACGTGATAGATGCTTTTTCCCCTCATCCAGGTTTTTAGCACATTTTACGACTGTAGCTAAGGAATATTTCTCCAAGCGGTGGTGCCGCGACACATTTGCTATAAGAACCATTAATCTATGAAGGAAGAAAACAAAATCCGCTGAATTCCACATGAGCTTTTACTGTTTCGAGAACTGAGTTAGTTATTACCTATGTTCTGTTTATTCTGTTGAAAAAGCCACCTGAATTCAGGAATACTGGAGGTGTTGCAAATATTTCAAGACGCTCGAACAAATGTAAAGCAACTCTGGGATGATTTCATCTTGCACGGATTGACAGATATCAACGAGGTGAAACGAAGCTTTCGGTTTCGTGGGCTTTTAATGTATTTCGATATCTTGAAATTCTCACTGGGCAGGTTTCCAAGGGTCCAGAACAGTTACGACTACTCGATCAAAATCTATTTAAAAGAAAAATAATTGTAGGCTCTAGGAAGAATGTGGTACATGGGCTTTATATAGCGTGGTTTCAACCAAATGGTCAGGTTGAGGATGTCGGTATGGGGTAGAGCTCACCAAAAGTTGTGGCAAACATAGCGATTCCCTCTGGTGAGAAGAGGGTCATATTTTGCCATGAGCTCTCAATTAAAGATTTTCCCATTTCACACGTATTATGTCCCTCCTTCGCCTCAACTGGTTTCGAGAATGTCCTGACGACACCCTTCAGGTTCAGTATCTCATCCCTAACATTGGCAAGCACATACAGTCTTGTTCGCTGCGGATGCTGGGCCGTGTCTTAAGCTTGATTGGCGCGACGCCAGCCCTTTCTCTACCTATTGTTGTCGCTTGCTCACCTCAGCAGTTCGGTGGAGAACGGGCTGGCGTCGCGCCAAACTCAGCCACCCCCTCACCCGCACGAACGTCTGCACTGATGAAAATGACGACACATACAGTCGTGATCCCTCAGACTGGCCATCCGTAATTGCGTACTTCACTGGGACGCGACGGCGGCTGCAGTAGGAGTGGCGATCGATGCTGCATGATCACCTGATTTCAGCGATTAATTTTTCTATTTTGCCTGTTATTCTGCTAACTAGAAGGAAAAGTGAGTTCATATTATTTACTCTAATTTGAGGTTTTATTGTATATTTTGCTTTCAGTCGCTATTTGACTGCAGTGACGGTGTTTTTACCCACTTTTTGATTTTGTTTAGGTTTTTTTTTGTACTAATGAGGACACATAACGACACTGCCATGGAGAACAGTCCAACATTCAAAGCACAAAAAAAAACCTAAACAAAATCAAAAAGTGGGTAAAAACACCGTCACTGCAGTCAAATAGCGACTGAAAGCAAAATATACAATAAAACCTCAAATTAGAGTAAATAATATGAACTCACTTTTCCTTCTAGTTAGCAGAATAACAGGCAAAATAGAAAAATTAATCGCTGAAATCAGGTGATCATGCAGCATCGATCGCCACTCCTACTGCAGCCGCCGTCGCGTCCCAGTGAAGTACGCAATTACGGATGGCCAGTCTGAGGGATCACGACTGTACAGTGTATCAGTGTATGGCATTCGTGATATGTGAAATGTGGAGTGTATGTTAGGGTGCGACTCTTCCCTCCTGCCGAGAGAGCGTGTCAGTCCGGGTGTCAGTACGAATCTCTCTCCCCCCCCCCCTCCCCTTCCCCCACATACTTACCAATTTCCCAAATTTTCCAGTTTTTCACCCGAAAAAATCTCCGTCGAGCGGGCGGGAGGGCTATAATACACATGAAACAGGCAAAATCACGCAAACTCAACAACCGGGAATTAACTTTCTGCCTCGGATATTTCCACTCGAAGCCACATACGACCCGACGACCCTCCCCTCCCAATACTAATGACGCCCCCCCCTCCCAGCAGAGAGTTACGACCCCTTATGTGTTTCAACACAACGATGCTGTACCCTGGAGTGTTAAACTATCCACTTTTCAGATGTAATGATATGCTTTTGCACCAGCCATCATCTGTTATGTATTGAGGATCTCATATATTGCTGGAGGTTAGTGATGCTAATCTGGGAAAAATCATTCATTCCTCTTAATAAAACCCGAAAACGGCTCTGTTTACACAGACATTTCTTAGAATAACCTGTGACAGCCGATGTGATAACATTGAGAGATAATGACGACGTCTGTTCGACTGTCTGCCCAGATTTTTCAGGTAGCATCGTGATCCTACACGAGGGGAACGTGCGAATTGTCATCTGGAAGACCGATTGAGTTGAAAAAGCTTCAGGCCAAAAGTGCTTTCGAATATTTGGCTGATATCGCGGAATCGGAGAAGGTATGGTCGTATTCGTTGCAGACGCCGGAGTGTGCCAGGGAAGGGTGGGCGCGGCGACACCCCTTTTATTCACCAACTTGGTTCGCTTTGCCTAGCTTCAGCAGGTGGCTTGGAGACAGGAAGGCTAGCGCGGCTTCTGAATCCTTCACTGACACGCCCCAGCGGTCCGTTTATTTACAGCCATTGCTGGTTTTTGTTGAATATCTTTTTTTTGAAATCCAGTGATGAAACGCGGCTAGGTTACGGTTTTCTAGCCTGGGTTTTTTAGATTTGAACGGAATACGTTCAAGCGCCTGAAGGAGCCATGAAAATCCTTTTCATTAGCGGCCAATCAAAGGTCTTAGTCCAAAACGATGCTTTTATTGGGCCAAAGAGAAAAGAAGTTGGCCACGCCCGCTTAATAATCCTTTATTTTTTTCGTTTTTTTTTCAAGGAGAGTCCTGTTCTATTATTCAGGAATTCGCTAATCAAAATATATTTTGGAGGTGCTCTGATTTGAGTGAGAAGGAAGAAGATACCAACGAATCGTTTAGAGTTTTTTTAGTCTGGAATGGATGCGATTGACAAAGATGATGGCGGACTGCTAGTCGACTACAATATTCGACAGCTGATTTGGGAAAACTTATGGCTTGCAGTTAGGGCGAATATCTGTCTTATACTTTGTCAGCACATTTCGCGCACTTTAATCGCAAGGTGTGTACTGCCGTAATGCTTTGCTCAGTTGCCATGCACTCTTTGTCCATATTACACTAAGAATGCCACAAGACTCTATATGAAGGGGCTTGCTCCGCCCACATGACCGGAGTGGACTCTGCCTTTCGTTCATGAGGCGACCAGGACCTTTTCGGCTGCCTGGACGTGCGCACTGAATGTAGATTACGCGCGCAAACCCCTAGTTGATAGAAAAGCTTAACCCAGAAGCAGGCAATATGAGGCACGTTTTATGAGTAAAATGCCGTCGAAGAATAACCGTCCTGTTGTAGCGGTCCTTTTCCTTGCCGATGACCGTCAACAGCTAGTTCTTACCTGTGATATGCCTGGCTCTTGTCTAAAGAAGGAGAGCGCAGCGCTAATTGGATGGCCCTTTTTCCTATCCAGCGCATCTACTGTTCGAGAACAGTCACAGAGGTGAAAAACCCCCACGTACTGGGGTTGTTCCTTGGAAATTCATAAAAGTTCTTGAACTGCAGGTCGAAGCATTTAACTTTGTTTCTCATACTTATGTGCTCTATTTTACCCTTGGCTGCCTCTATTCGAAGTTCTAGCCACATTCTGATTAATTTTATCCTACCGATAGATCAAGTTTCCGTCTGGGGACGGTGTTTGCTCCTTGTCCACGTTTCCTTCCAAAAAATTGGCGCCAGCATTACAGGCGCCCGCGTCCACAAGCCAGCCCTGGCGTCGACGCCTGCGAGGCACGTACCATGTGTGGGCACCAAGCCAATGTGGTAGCCCTCTCGAGAACAGTCTAAATATCTACTGGAAATAAATATTGACAGATTTGCTGGGCGGAGTCATCGACGTGGCAATCTGCACCTCCACTGATACTCTCCTAGTTCACAAGTCTCGTTCTTGGGAATTGTTGAACTCTTGTGAAACTGCGAAACCAAGTCTCTGATCGCCCCAGTAAACGTTGTGTAACTCAAGAAAAAGGCTATCTATATGGATCGACACATAGATGAGAAATAGAGAAGCTGCCTCTTGTCTCGATCTTCTAAATGACTGCGCCGATTCGCTTGTGTTTGCGCTTTTTTGTTTTGACGCTGATCCTTGTGGCACGAGTGCAGGCAGTTTAAAGGCACAGTTCGCGACCGCAAATTGCGGGAAACGGAACTCAAATAGGCACAAAAAAGTGCTAAGTATCTGATTAGCGGAGAAAAGCAGCAGAAAAAGCAGTCCGAAATGTTATAGAGAAAGATAACATAGTGGCTACTAGCTAGTAGCTTAGGCAAACCGGTGAAGGTCAGGCATTGGGCCTAAGGGGTCGTGTCAATTGGCCTAATTAGTCAGCGCAGTTCTTTCCGTTTTTCACATTTTGAAAGTAGCGCGGCCTCAAAAATCTCCTTCCGGATCGTCCGACGCATTTGAGAGGTCATAGTCTTATTTTATCGCGGAATGTGCCTTTAAGGACAAGCTGGTTTCGTGTCAGGGCGTTATCGTGGGGGACACAAACAGTACTCAGGGTCGGCATTATCGGTGTAAATCTTGAATATGCGACTTCAGTTCCCATCTCATCTCTATATTATTATACTTCGAGGAGCCAACGCTCAGCTGATGCCGTGTTCCGCATTATATTAGGTTGGTCGAAAAGTCCTGCGACACTTTGACCAATTTTTCGGACTAAATTTTCAGTCACTAAAAGACATCTCCAATCTACAAGGTAATCACCACTAAGGACTAGGACTAGTGCCCTTCTTTTGCACAGCTTCTCATTTCCATTCTTATAGAACTACGGCAACTATGATAAGAAGAAGAGGTGGACCTCATTTTTGAGTAGACGTCGATTTTCGGAATTTTTGCCTTCTTAAGGATGCGGTAGGGATCAAAAAAGGTAGTAGTTAGAGACTGCTAACTTTGATGAATAAGCTGGGTATGGTCGCATTCTCAGATCAAGATCCACGATCTTTTGGTGTGGCCTGATCCTAACATGCGGTCTTCGCATTGCCGAGCGGTAGAGAAAAATTGAGTATTTTTGAAGAATTCAAGCGTGACGTCATCCATGTTGTGAGGTTGGTTAGAGTGGACTGTAGTCCTTACCGTTATGCTAGTATCCAGAGATACCGCTTTGAAGTCCCACCAATAACCTACTGAAATCTTTATCCCATGCACATCTGCTTTTGGCTGTGCAATCTACTTTTCTGTTTGAGAGATCCTGCGAGGAACATGTGCAAGATGTACGCAAGGACCCCACCACTCTCTACCAACCACAAGATCTCACAAATGTTCCTCCAGTGTGTACAAGGAAAAAAACTCAGTCACGGTCATTCGGTATGACTTGTCAGAGGGGTTCAACTCATGAGGCATCCTTCATAAAAAATTTTTCCGATAACCGAGACTGCGGAGAAGCATGGCAGTTGTCAGTTAGGTGGAGCCTAGAGAGGTTGCCAACTTACTGGTGGTTACGTTCGGCTGCGCCTCAAGAAGCTTGAGTAAAGGGCCGTCATTCTGTGCTGGTGGCCGACCTATACATTGCCTACTTCCGAGTTGAATAAGTCCAGCCTGGAAGCGCTGATGCAAAA